CGGCGGCGCAGGACCAGAGGCCCAAGGAGAGGGCGGTGGCGCAGAAGAGCCTACCCCGTCTGGCGGGGCGCGCCGCAGCGGCTGCAGGCCATGGCTGACCAGGGGCAGGCCTCCAGCGCCTACCACGCCGTGGGCTTGGCTGGAGCCGCGCGGAGGTGGTGGACGGCAGTGCAGGGCGAAGCAGTGATCCGTGCGCATGCCGAGGTTTTGCGTTGGATCGCTGAACAGGCACACGCTGATGCTCAAACCTTGGCGCAGCGGGACCTTGGCGACAGAGGGCGGCAGTTCGACGAGTGGGTCCAGCTGCAGTTGCGATGAGGAGCAGGAGGGCTACACGCCATTACGCGGGTGCCCATCGGTTGGCAGGACGGCCCAGCCGACCAGGAGCAGGCGTGGGGCATGCCAGCCAGCCAGGAGGTAGAGGTACGCCAGTTGGAAGACGAGTGGCGGAGGCTTTGGAGGGTCGAGTGCGAGCAGGTCAGCGCGCGCTGGCCCAAGGACCTGGGCGAGCGCCCTCCCAGGCCCTCAGTGGACGAGCTGAGGAAGTGTCTGAGGACCTCTCGGCACGGCACAGCAGCCTCCTTCGAGGGCATTCGTCCAAGGCAGCTGCTGGAGCTGTGCGATGGGGCGCTAGAGACGCTGACCGACATCCTGATGGCGGTGGAAAGAGCAGCGGAGTGGCCTAGCCTCGCCACCAAAGTGTGCTTCTTCGCGAAGCGGCTGGGGGGAGCACGGCCGATCGCGATCATCATGGTGTTGGCGAGGGCGCAGGCTCGCCCCAGGAGGTCCATCGCGCTGGACTGGGAGAAGCGCAGCGACAGGCCCTTCTTCGGGGGCGCCCGAGGCCGCGGATTGAAAGAGCGGCGTGGCAGCAGGTGGCGGAGTGCAAGTGGGCGACGGCCAAAGGGCACCAACAGCGAGACCCAGAGGCGCAGGCGTCGGCGCTCGTGATGCTTGACCTGCTGACGGCGCACGAGCAAGTACGTGACCACCACCTCGTCGAGGCAGCGGTCAGGACTGGCTTCCCGCTGTGGCAGTTGAAGGTGCAGATCGACCTGCACCGCTCGCCCCGGCGGTTGGCTCTCGGTGTTGGCGTGGGCGATGAGCTTCAGGTGGACCAAGCGGTCTTGCCTGGGGGCGGGCTCGCCACGCTGATGCTCAAGATGCTGCTCCTGGCTCCGATGAAGGATGGTCGTGCAAGCACCGCGTGCTACTGCCACACGTGGGCACATTTGTGGCGCGTGGCCTGGGACCTCATCGACGACCTAGGCGTCGTTGGAGAGGCTGGTGCGCGAGTACGTCGGGTGCGAGCACACCAGAGACGGCGACAGGTGCGTGACGGAGCGATCACCTACCGTGACTGGCTGGGCAACAAGTACGCGGACGTGGCAGCCAGGTCAGCAGCGGAGGCAGGCAGGATTGCGGTTGCGGATCGCGCTAAGCTGCAGGCCGAACGTAGCCTCGTGGACGGGGTCGCGATGTGGCGCAGTGCCGTGGGCAGCTGGGTCCAGGGCAGTGACGCGCGTCACAGGAAGGCGAAGCCCCAGGGCGCTGTGGAACGCCGGGCAGCGAGGAAGGAGGACGTCAGCAACACGTGCGACCTGCGCGGGGCTCCCGGGAAGCAGCGGTGCACACACTGCAGGTGGCAGAGTCGGCAAGGCGAGCGCCCGGGCTCCATCCTGGAGGAGGCGATGAAGGCGAACGGTGTGCTGAAGGCCCGAGGACTGCCAGCCCATCGGCTCGCGGGGATCGGGCCGCAGGTGGACGCGCAGCTGGAGAGGAAGATGCCCCTGGTGGCGCGCCTCTGCTGCAGAGCCACTGGCGCGGCGCGAGCCAGCAGCTTCGCCGGGCGCTGCGAGCCGCCGACACCTACGGGCAAGGCGGCGCTGGCGAGGCTGGAGAACAAGCTGGCGCCCAAGGTGCCCAGCAGAGTGGCCGTCGAGGTGCGCGACCTCGTCGAGGGAGGCAGCGATGCCATTGTACTGATGTCCAGCCAAGCTGCCGCATGGAATCGCGGTTGTTTGCCGGCTCAAGTTGAGGAGGCTGCCGACGCGGATGTGGCGGAGGCGGCTGGTCTGGCCTCCACGACGAGCGGGCTCGACGCGGCGGTTCCCAGAGGGGTGGAAGAGCCGCCGGTGCGGCGCCACCAGGGGCCTCTGCCGAGGTCTCACCGACCTGCAGGCGGGGGCGAGGAGGAAGC